CAAAACTCCAAACTTTGACTTTCCACAGGTTTAAAATGTCTGGATGCCAGGGCTCAGCTTCCATCGATGGGGTCAGGCCGTATGTGCGTCTCTATGATGGCTTTGGGAATGTGGGTCCCGTCGATGTCTCTCAGTTCCTTCAGGGTTGCACCAGAACCAATTGTAGGTTCTAGCATTCACAAAGTTCACGCAAATGACATGGATTCCTTGTACTGGTGTAATTTTGGGTCTGTTAGCTATAAGGCTGCTCAATTAATCGGGAAATGTTGATCATGATTATGATTTTTGGGGCCAAACAGTGATCTCAAAACTAATAAAATCGGGGGAAACGATTTTTTTTTTTCTTTTTCTGTTGTGCAAAGTTGTTTAGAAAAAAGCTGTGTCCCAATTCAGGTATGCAGCCCCTGAATTGGGATACCAGCACCAGTCGCGTATTTCCCGTCCTCCCACAGCATGCACTGCACAACGAGTCATGCGCTCGGTATACTTGCCGTTCCCACCTGTCCGCGACAATGTGAAGTTCACGGGAGCACACGTAACTATTTATACTGGCGCTGGTGGTCGGCGACACTAGTTGCAGTCTTCTCCTGTCACTTCTGTTTTCGTGTTTGAACAGGTAACGCCGGAGACTATACAAATGTTTATGGGAAAAGGTAAGTGTAACTGAGACTTCCTTTGCAAAGTTGTTTTGGACAATGTCCAATAAATGCAGCATGTTTCTGAAGTTTAAAAAAACTAATCGTTTGAATAATCGTGATTTCAATTTGACCCAAATTAATCTGTGATTATGCTTTTTCCTCAATGTTAAATTTTTTCCATAATTGAGCAGCCCTAGTTAGCTAACAACACAAAATGAACAGATAGTTTTGGTCTGATTTTGCAAGGGTTGGTGATGTCTGCTGTGGCACCAGTGCACTGCAGCTCAATTATGTTTGGCTTTTGCTGCTGAAAGCACAAATTTTATTTTTCAAAGACTCAACAGAAACCACTCCTCTGTAAAACCATGATGTTGTTACAATAATAATAATTCCTCACCCAACTTGTGCGTTTAAACTGGTAATGGAAATATGGGAAGGGGAGTATGAAAAATGTGTGTTAGACTATTTCCCCTTCTGTTTTCTAAAGTATGCTGTGCAACTCAATGCACTCCTACAGAGCTGTCTCTACACTTGCATCACAGCCGGCAAAACAGCCCTGCCTCAAGTGCCTTGATATCCAAATACAGACAACAACCATTTATAAGTTCTGCATTAATCAGAAAAGTAATGCACAGTTCACATGTGATTTAAGCCCGGATTTACCACTCAACAACTATTTTGGAAGATCACCGACAAATGCCCCCAGATCAGAGGCAAATCAGCACCAACTCGTGATGGGGCTGCCGCGTTAGCAGCGCCCCATGAGCAGGTTTCGGGGTTAGGTTGCCTTGCTCAAGGGCACCTTGGCAGTGCACAGGAGGTGAAACTGGTATGGAGCCCACAGACCTTTGTGTGGTCTGTGGGACTTGAATATCGGAGGGCCGATATTATCGGACATCCCTAATGTTAACAGTTGGATCCACATAAGAAAAAAGATTTATTAGTTATGAAATGATAATCTTACAATCTTGATGCTATTATTATATCATTAATACAATAGACGACAGACAACTTATTTTAGAAAGGAAAAAAAGAGATGGAATGAGATAAACAAATACACAAACCTTGGCCAGTGTAGAAGGAGAGACGGAGAGAGAGGGGGGAGCAAACAGCATATAGCATTCTATAACCTAAACTACAACTTCCCACCCCCAGTTTATTTGGTTATTTTCATAAATAATTATCACTCTATTTATCTTGCTACGAATCAGATTCATATATAGTATACTTTTATATGCACTGGAGCGCTCTGGTTATTTTTGAGACTAGTCTCTGATTGCTTGAGGTTGGAGAATTTAGACACAAATTGACCTTCAATCCAGTGGATTACATAATCAACCTCTTGGAAAAATTGGTTCTCTTATTTGTAATCTTCCCTCAAATGCATATGCAATAAGAGAGATACACACTGCAAACATTCACCAAAATGTAATGTACACTGTGACTCCAGCCTGCTGTGTCTGTTTGATTAATACAGCACGTGTCTGTGGTAGAATACATCACATGCACCTGGAAAGCAGTCACAACAGCCCCTAAAAATCTGACCTGATTTTTTGATGTCTGTGATTGTGTTTGAATGTGCCAGAGGCCTGTGGTAGAGAAGAAGGCTGCACCAGAGAGCTGTGGAACAGTGTGTTTACCACACACTCAGTCCTCTGCCCTCACTTCCTGCTCATCCTCCCAAAGCTCCCATACCCAGAAGGCCAAGGTGCTGGATGCCCACCTTCCCAGTCTGAAGAGGAGGAGACTCAGTGAGTATAAAAATAAAGGGGGTGTTTTCATGCCAACTGTTAGTCCTTCATTAAATTGGTCGCTGTTTTCTGGTCTTGGTGATCAGATGAACACACAGGAGCCAAGGGGATGGCCAGTATCTGTATTGAGTATGAGTGTGAGGTGCAGGAGAGTCAGAGGAGACCAGCCAACCTGCTGGATGCTCTGGAACGAGGTGACCATTGCAGTGCAGAGGACGATGATGCTGTTGTGGGAGAGGAGAAGGTAACTTGTCTTCTGTGAGACACTGTGGTCTGTCCTACTAATCAAAAGCAGCAAAAAGCTCTGTTTTTGACATTTGTACTTGTGGAAAACATAAGGCTTGTGTATTCAATAGCCAGTTTAATTGTCTAGTAGTTCCATTTTCAGTGAGATTTATATATACACATAGGCGAGAACCCATGTGTGAAGTGGATCAGTAGACCTATTACTGATGCCATGAAACAACAATTACTCTGATGCAAAAATACAAAAACAAACCTCAAATTATTTGTAAGAACTATATTTATTTATTTATTCAGTTCTGCATTTTCTTTTGAAGGCAAATCGTTTGTCCACACTTTCTCTTCAATATGACAAGAGGATGGATGATGAATTGCGGGGAGGCAAACGTAAAATCAAGTTGGTCCAAGAACAGGTACATTTTATATTAAGAAACAGTGCCAGGCTGTGTTAGAGTTCAAGTGACAATTGCAACTGAATTATAGACTTTTTAGTCAAGGGGATGATGAAGACATACAAAGTATCTTCACAACTATACCAGGCCAAAAGTTCTACTCATACAGAAGAAACATTTAATTCTGATCACAATCATACATAAATTTCAGATTTCAGCAGAATTTTTGACTTGTCAAACACAATCTCTGTAGTAATAACAACCAGATTGATGACCGGACCTAACACGTAACAGCTGGCCAGTCATAGCCTCATGAACCTCATATTTACTACTTACTCATCTTGAAATGATAGAGAAATTATAGAGTCTTCCTATTAAATGGATTACAAAATAAAAAATTAAATGTTAAAGCAGGAAACAAATTAACTTTTAGAAAGGAATATCGTAAGACACTTAACATTTATCTGATTCCATTTCAAGATTAAATTATTAATTAAGAAAAATAATGATAATAGACACATTTAATCATCTCTTTATTATTATGTAGTTTTACTATCGATTAAATCAAATTAAATGTGTCCTGTAGTGTTGTTGTACTGTGCACAAAAGTGAAACACACATTTGTTGCCGTCTTCAACGCGTTCTTGATCAAATTACTATAGCCAAATTTAAAAAAATCATATGGTGTCTCGGATATCTTTAATATTTGTTTTTATTGAAAAACAGTTTCATTGTGAATTGTAAATGTGAATAGTATTTAATAGTATTTTTTTTCTCGATCCTTGAAGAAAATGAGCAGGTTGGAGGATGTGTCTGAGGAAGGTAAAGCAAGCAGGGCGAAGAATTTTCTGGCAGAGATGAAGAAGTCACTGAGCCAGGTTACCTTTGACCGCATTGTACAGGCTCTGCAGACTTACAAGAAGACAGACAACCTGGACGTCCTGCTGACTGAGACAGCTGTCTTAACTGAAGACACTAATACTCATAGTCTGCTCCGGGGTAAGTCTTCTGCTCAAAAGCAAGGACATTTACACTGTGTTTAAGCACCTGGTTTTAGTCTATCAGTGAGCTTTAAATTGTGGTAAATAACAGTCTGCAGTTAAGGCAGTGTTGGTCGGTTTGAATAAAATATCTCAACTACTATAGGATTTTAATGAAATTTGGTTCAGTGATTCATATTCCTCAGGATATATTGTAATATGGTAATTTTGGTGATCCTCTGACTTTTCATCTAGCACCAACACCAGATTTGTCCAATACTTTGGTTTATGACCAAATAGCAAAACTAATTTTAAAAGTTTTGTGCTAATTAGCAAATGTGTTAGCATTTAGCTCCCATCACCGCTGTGCTGGATTATAGACTGAGAGACTCCTAGTCGCATTCTTACAGGACTGTGTTTGCTTGGATTTCATTGTACAGGGGTTTTCTGTCCTCACTGTGTGTTAAGTTTTGTTTATGCTTGCAGGCCTTCACAGAGGCTTTAATTCTTAATGTGGTCTCCACTCCAGTATTCTCCTCCAGGAGGGGTACAAACAAAACATTCTGTGGAGAAACAAGGAGCCTGTTTACACCTGGTATTAACCTGCATCTGGGGTGATCTGATCAAAAGTGGACACTTCTAACTAACATCCTGTAAGCACACATGTCTGTTTGGTTCACTGTTGTGCAATTTGCAATTTGCAATATAAGGCTCTTTTACCTCCCAAGATAATAGATGTTTGTGAACAACACTGTCCGTTTCAATTTATTTGACCATTGAACTAGTAACCACATTATCCCCAGACTCCCTTAAAAAAATGCACAATTTTGAGAATTGTGACAGGAGAAACTTTATAAACCTTGTGAAACGCTATCTATGACAGATTATGTGGGCCTTGTAAATTCAGGAAATGTTACATATTAAGTTCTTTCTTACTTAGTTATTATAGGCTACAACTTCCTCGACTGCTGTCTGCTGAGAAGTGACTCTTAAGGCTGAAAGCCTCTCAGCATCCCACAAGCAGAAGAGACACTGTCTCTGTGATGTGAAAACATGAGATTTCCACACAGTCAAAAAAGCAAAATGTCAATAAAAAGGACAGTAATAATGGACACTGACTTATAACATTTTGAGTAGGGTACAGCCCTATAAAAGTATTTATTTCATACAGAGCCGGGAAGTGAGATCCGATCACAAGTGGTAACTCGAGGCACATTCTAATGCTACATGTAAAGTGACATATTTCAAGCTGTCCAATTGTGATTAAATTACCCAAGACGCATGTTAATACCAGGTCTAAACAGACTAAAGAGGCCAACAAGTGTTACCAGAAGAATAGACCAAACATTACTGCATACTCAAGAGGGGATTGTCTGTCTGCAAGGATGGAAAAAGGACAAGTTGAAAATAATAGATATATTTAGTTTGCTTGTTTTTGCCTGAGCATCCAGACTGTGTCTGTGTCTTCCTATGTCTATGTTAATGTTGTCACTAGTTGATCTTAAAGGGAGCCACTGTGTCACAGGTGTCTACCAGTTTGTTCGCCCACATCATAAAAAGAGGTTTGATGCGAAATGCCATGAGCTGACTGGGCAGGGCTGTGGATTCAAACCTGATCAATCTCTGGCTAAGGACAAGAAGAAAGCACTGATGCTGTACAGCGGTATGAAACACTCATCCCAACCCAATACTGCACCTTTTTTTCATATTGAAAATGTGTCTGACAGGGCTGGGCAAGTTCCAAGATGCAATATTTTTAAAATAATATATCAATTTTTTTCAAAGTCTGGTGACAGAATCAAGTTGCTTATTGTGTCTATACAAAATACCAAAACCCAAAGACACTTTATTTATAATGATAATATTTAGTTTACAATTATATAAAATGAAACAAAAAAAAGCTCACATTGGAAACCAGATTTTAAATGAAAATTAATTCATTATCAGTGATTCATTTTCTGCTTCAATATTAAGTGACAACATGTTGGCTGTTACTGTTGGGGTATCAAAGCTTTATCAAAGAGGAACGTCTTAAGCCTACTCTTAAATGTGGAGAGGGTGTCTGCCTCCAGAACCACAACTGGCAAAGCAGGCCCAGCAACATAACCAAGACCTCCTCCATGTTTCACAGTAGGTACAGTGTTTTTTTTTGGTATGCCTAATTTTTGTGTCTCGTGAACTCAAAGCTCATTGTGACTCGCTAAAAAGCTCCAGTTTTGTCTCATTCTGTTCAAAGGATATCTCTCCCAGAAGGCCTTGTGCTTGTCAATATGCTTTTGGCAAGTTCCGTCTGGCTTTTTAGAGGAAACTAGGAAAAGGAGGATCCACATCTCTCCTGTATTGGCTTCCTCTGCATTGGCTTCCCTGTTAAATTTAGAATAGAATTTAAAATCCTCCTCCTCACCCTATAAAAACTCTTCATGGTCAGGGCCCCTTCATACCTCAAAGAGCTTATAGTACCATATTACCCTACTACTACTGTTGGGTCTCTGTAAGATGTTATTAAGGAGTTTCGGTCTAGGACCTGTTCTATTTGAAAAGTGTCCTGAGATAACTTCTGTTATGAATTGGCCGCATATACAAATACAAAACTTGAATATGAATTGAATTGGAATTACTACAAACACTGCGCTGCTGTGAATGCATGGCTATTTTGCGATTTCTATACTCCCAAAAGACTAGAACAGGAGCCAGAGCATCATGTTACCAAGCTCCTTCCCTGTGGAAC